TGCTGAAAAGGCAATAGTAGACTGAGTGTTGGGGTAAAATCCCAAATAATAATGGTGGTTTTGGTGTCAAAATAATGAATGTAATCAAAGTAGAGAGAGAGTAATGTGGAAATCATCTGCCCGACAGGCAGGGGGAGGGCATGGAATGGGGGTATACTGTGGTTTTTGATGGTAGAGAACAGGCACTGATGAAGGTACGGGTGTTTCATTGTAGGACTGAGACTTAAACCCGAAAGCTTTGTAACTGCTCTCATGGTGATTCAATAAATAAAATTATTAAAAAAGACATTATTTTAGAAGGTTATGAGAAATAAGCCCATTTTAAAGTGAATGGGGATAAATGTTCTCTCAGAACAGAGACCAATCCATATTCTCTGGTGTTGCAATCTCACACAGAAGTTATACTTGAAAATCCCTGCACTAGTTTCATTAAAGAGATTTTCCTTTCTTCAGGTTCCTATTTCTATTCCTGTTTGGGAGACTCACTCTCCCCACTACTGAACAGGGGTGTAAAGCTGACAGGCTCTTGCTCTCAGTGAATGTGAGCAGATCTAAGAAGCCAGGTATAAGTGTACAAGAAGAAACCACCAGTTCTCCTTGCTCCATGGTGGTCTGAGATGCAGAAACTTCTATCAAGTTAGATAAAACTATATTTAGGAAGTTTTAAACTATGCCATATCTCATATTTCTAGTATCTAACATTTTCTAACAAGAGTTTTTTTTTTGGGGGGGGGGAGGTGTGATGAGGGGAAAACCCACTCAAAGAGATGAAAATAGAATAGTTAGGTTCCCTTTGTTGCTTCGCCTGCCTTCTGCCCTCACCATTTTCTTACTCTGCCTTTTCTTACCTGGCAGACTGTTAAGTCATAGGGCACACCATAAATAAAGAAGAGTGGCTGGAGCAATAGCACAGAGGGTAGGGCATTTGCCTTGCATGCGGCTGGGCCCGGGTTCGATTCCCAACATCCCTGAACACTGCCAGGGGTAATTTCTGAGTGCAAAGCCGGGATTGACCCCTGTGCATCGCCACGTGTGACATAAAAAAAAGAAAAAGAATTGGTGGAGAAAGGTGGATTTCCTAATAATAACAACAAGACAGGAAAGCATTTTTAAAAGCATTAAGAATAATGAAGGAAAATTTTGTGCTAATATATTTGGGGGTTTACATAAAGTAGGTAAGGCTTACATATGTAAAAATTTCCCCCCTACACTTTATTAAAATACTGTGGTTTACAATGTTATTCATGATGACTTGTTGCAGGCATTCAATATTCCAACACCAATCCAAACACCCTATCACCTTCCCTTCATCATTGTCTCCAATTTTCCCAACCAACCCTCAAGCCTGCCCCTGTAGCAGGCCCACGATATTTTATATTGCTTGTTACCAATAAATTGCTAACAGATAAAAAATTCCTTTTAAAAAAAGTTTTATTAATGTGACATGATTATTACCATAATGAGATCTAAGTCATTCAAGTACTAAGTACATCCAAGTACTAAATGGCTGGAGCGATAGCACAGCGGGTAGGGTGCTTGCTTTGCACGCAGCCAATCCAGGTTCGCGTCCAACCTGGGTTTGATTCCTCCATTCCTCTAGGAGAGGCCGGTAAGCTACTGAGAATATCCCGCCTGCACGGCAGAGCCTGGCAAGCTACCGTGGCGTATTTGATATGCCAAGAACAGTAACAATAAGTCTCACAATGGAGACATTACTGGTGCCCATTTAAGCAAATCGATGAACAATGGGAGGACAGTGCTACGGTGCTACAGAGATCTAAGTACAAAATAAAATTGAATGCAATATATTTTAGTTTCCAGGGTTGAAAACTTACATATGTAAAAGAGACTAGGCATTTGATTATATTGTATTAAATGGTTTAAAATCATTTTAAACATAGGTTTAAAGTAAAATAGCAATCACAAATTGGCTTTTACTGATTTATTTTCTGATTATTCTGTTTGCCAGTTCTCAATTTGTGATGTGCCTAAGTGGGCAGACTCGGGTTGGGAAGGAAACTGGTGAGGGAAAAACTGGTAGAGGGAAGGTCACACTGGTGGTGTTGGAACACTAAGTGCCTGAAACAACTGTATTATGAACAACTTTGAACAATACTGTTTTAGTAAAAATAAATTTTAAAAAGAATAATGAAGGAATAATGAAATGCATTTCCAAAGTTATGTTGACATCAAACTATTTTTCCCCAATGACTCGGAGCTTTAGTGTCCTGCATGAGTCAAAGAGATCTGCAAATGAGAATAAAATGTCCTATCTAGACCAAGTACGAAAGGCTACTTGGAAGGCTACTTCCCACTTAGGAAGGGAGCAATAGCTAATATGACCTTTCACTCGACAGATAAAATGCAAATAAAGGCATGACAGAATCCATTTGAGAGAGAGAGAGGCAAGAAATTCCTTTGCACCTATTCTCTCAGATGGTGAAAAGAACTGAGAAATGATCAGAGTAAAAGAAGCATTTCAGAAATAAAATTTTCCTGTATTTTTACTGTGGATTGGGAACTCAAGGTGAAAACTACAGAGCTACTTCACCTTTTCCAATCTTAAACTAAAAGGGAGTAGATATGGAAATACAAAAGGGAAAAATTAAAACACATTTTCAAACACCTACACATCCACAAAAATTTTTTTATTAACACAGTGTGATATTGTGCCTCAGAAAAGCTCATAAAACTTACACTTGTGTAAGAGGTAAAAGAAAACAATTTTAGCATTGAGGCTGGAGCAATAGTATAGTGGGTAGGGCGTTTGCCTTGCACGTGGCTGAGCCGGGTTTGATTCCCAGCATCCCATATGGTCCCCTGAGCACCGCCAGGGGTAATTCCTGATTGCAGAGCCAGGAGTAAAGAAAAAAAAAAGACAATTTCAGCATTACAGATTTCTACAGGGTTAAAGATGATATTAAATTGACTTTAATATCAGTAATATCAGAGACAGTACAGCAAATAAGGAGCCTGTCTTGCACATGGCCCATCTGGTTTCAATCCACATATGGTCCCCAGAGAACTGGCAGGAGTGATTCCTAAACCCAAAGCCAGGAGTAAGCCCTGAGCATTGCCTAGTGTAGCCCTCAAACAAAGACAAAATATAAACTGACTACAGATGTGAAATGAGCACTGTTTTTCTTATCCATAAAACTGCAACTATGAATTCCTGACTGTAGAACTCTGATTTTAATAGGGACCCTGAAATTTATATTGACGTTAGAATATTTTTTTAGAAAATCAAAGAGAGGCACGGGAGATGGCTCAAAGGGGTGGAGTTCATACATGCACAACAAGATGCCAACAGCACACAGGTGAGTCCACCAGCCTGCATACTGTGGGGAGCCCAAGTGCTTGCCCCTCCATCATGGAACCATCGTGATGCACCAAACCATGAACCTCCAACAGTAGGAGTAAGCCTCAGCCTCTGAGGACTGCTGGGAAGGCCTCAATGGAAGAGCAACAGAAAGACACATATTGTCTCTTCCTTTCTCAGGTATCTCTGGTTTAAAGTTTCAATGAAATGCCACATGGGTTGCAGGCACTGGTAAAAGAATATATTAAAGGGCAGGAGAAATAATCTAAAGGGGTTTAGGCACTTTTCTTGCAGTTTGATCCCTAGCACCTGAGCACAGAGCCAGGGTTAAGGCCTGAACACAGTCAGTGTGGCCCAACAACACCCCCCCATGCAAAAAAAAATTATATATATATATATATACACACACACACTGTGCATACATACACACATATGTGTGTATATATACACATATGTATGTATATATACACACATAATGTATAGGTTTTATATATATATAAAATTTAGATAGCCTAAGTACAAAAAAAACTTATAAAAATTTTTAGAAAAATTAGTCTTTATGTGTGTTAATGTGGGTGTTTCTCTAAGATGGAAAAAGACATCAGCAAATCCATTAAAATCCTATGAAGCATACTCAAGTTAAACTATAATTTATTAAAAAGAGACAAGCCTTTTTCTGAGAATTCTGGATACAAATTAGCCAAAAGGTGTGCCACGTTTCAGAATTTAATTCTGCTTTATTGGCAATCATGCTTAAAGAAGCAGCTGAGTATCTGGATATTTTTGTTTGTTTGCTTGGGTGTGTGTGTTTGTGTGTGTGTGTGTGTGTGTATGCATGTGTGCGTGTGAGATGTTAAGGACTAAACCTAGGCCCTCCACATATGCAAAGCAAATGCAGTATTTGTTCTTAACCTAAAGGTCTGCCCAGATGATGTTGCAAAAACTATCTGGTAAAGGGAGAAACTAAAAGGTTTAACCATTTTAAAGATGAATTGCAAGGCCATTATAAAACAGTCTTACTCTACATCATACACAAAAAGAAACCCATTGTTTCTCTAAAATTAATTTCCACATTTTTATTAGAAAGAGGTCCTGAGAGGAAATACTACTGTAGAATTTCTATGCCACTATTTCTATGCCTCCCCTTTACTATCGTTTAATTAAAATTACTTCTCTGGCAATTTAAGAACATGAATTTCCATAAAGTACACAGCTCCTTAATCTCATATCAAACTTCTCTGCTGAGAGATTGCCTCTTACGGTTAAAGCAGTCTGCAATTCTCTAGAATAATAAGCACTTTCAAAATTACTGCCATGCCCATCTCCTGCACTTAAAGGACTTTGGATATGCCCCAAGGTATTTCTTTGCTCCCAATGGAGGAGAACTTTCAATTGCTGAAGCTTGAGAATATCTAAATCTTCTTTCATTAAACTTCAACTATGATAGCAGAAATTTATTAAAGTGATTCAGCAGGCAATGCTGATTTTAAAATCTGCCTGATGGAAATCACTCATTAGTAGAAAACTATACACCTAAAATCCTTCTAGAAATCCTGAAATATGCCACTGAAAGTATTGTATTCAATATTTCGAATGAAATATTTTTAAATTATAGGAGCAAATCAAAGACATGATTAGAATCATATTAACCAACTGATTACCCATTTTATCCCAAACTCACCTCTCCCTTGGAACAGCAAACCAATACTCTGGCTGTTTTCTCCGTTTGCCATATTGTTGGACCATGGCTGCAGAATGAGTAGCAAAGGATTTTCTCATTGGTTTTCCTACTTTAATGCACAGAAACATGGGTGGAGTTTTGCTTTTCTCTTCTTTGGAAGGAAGTATATCTGAATCACACATGGAAAAAAAATGTCCTCAATATTGACATAAACAGTGAATTAAAACCTTAGAGTGTCCAATCCCTTCTTAGTGACAAAGAAGTCAAATCATGGCAGAAATATCATACATCACCAGATTTGGACCTATTGAAGTTTTTGCACCTTAATGAGCACAAAAGGCAAACATTTGCTGTTTCAGGTTGGTATCCATCACATGAGCTGCTATGCAGTGAACACACTAGCAAACAGTGAGGCTGCAGACAATCCAAGAGAATGCATGCTATCAAATGGCAAGGAGGACCCAGTCCTCCATGGAGTATGTCAGTACGGAACTGAAGCTATCATCAAAAACATTTTAAATTCCTTTAGAAATTTAAGGTGAATAAAAGGAAAGTTATTTTTGTTTTAAAATGTTTCAAGCTACATTTTTTTTCCTTTTTGGATCCCGCCCAGTGATGCACAGGGGTTACTCCTGGCTTTGCACTCGGGAATTACTCCTGTGGTGCTTGGGGGACCATATGGGATGCTGGAATTTGAACCTGCAAGACAAACATTGTACCTGCTTTACTATTGCTCCAGCCTCTCAAGCTATTTTTTATTTTTGAGTGAGCCCTGGGCATGTTTGAAGAACCACATGCAGTGCTAGGGATCAAATCAGGATCAGCAAGATGCAAGTTAAGTCCCTTAATGCCTGTACTATCTTTTTGGTCTTCAAACTACTTTTGAAATAGAAATCAATGCTATAGAACAAATTACAAAAGAGATAATATATTGCTAATTTACCCCCAGTTTTTACTGTCTCAAGGAAGATACGCTTTGTTGAGAACACATGATTCTCAAATAACTGTGCCATTTTGCTCTAGCACACAAGTTTTAGAGTGGACATTACACACAGAAAGACAGTAAATAATGGCTTACCTTCAATAGGTACCTGGATTCTCTTTAGTAGCCATAACTGAATTTCTGATTTATTATCTCCTTGCATGCCTTGGCTGCTATTGTCCAGAGTAGAGTCCAAAGAGGAGGGTTCCAGGGAATCTTTATTCGTGCTTTCTTCTGTAGAAGAATCCAGTTGCAGTGGGAAGGGTTCTCTTTCCTTCTCCCAGGTTTTCCTTAGCTCTTTATTGCCTTCAGTTGTGGGATCACTTGCCTGGGAAAAAGAGCGACTAAGGGTGATGTCTATTCCCACTGGCTCTAGCCTTTTGTCATCACTTAATTCTGTCTTCTCTAAGTTCTCACATGACTGTGAACCTTCTTTGTTCTTATTAAGGTAATATTCTATAAGCTTAACTTTATCTAGGTCCTCATGTATATTCAGCATGTTTTCAACCTGGCTTTCTGGGGAGCTGGACTGTTTGTCCATCTCTGGCATCGTGTCTTGTTTCTCACCGGCTTCTAAATCAAGAGTTCCCTTTACTTCAGCATCACTCTCCGGTCCTGAGTTCAGGGCTGAGTGCACCTGCATTTCTGTGGTAGAACTGATTATCTGTGACTTAGCCTCCCTAAGCTCCTGGGCATCAAGATCCAGGCACTCCTTGGAGGCATCACTTTTGTCCATTTTACTATCAGCTTGAGAAGCAAGTTCTTCCAAGTCTACAAAGTCTTCGTCTTCCCCTAGAAGGGAATTTTCTTTGGCTACAGATTCAAGTGCAGAAGGTTCCTTGCTGCCCTCAGTCACTGTGGTTGTCTCTAGAGAAGGCTCCGATTTCTTTAGTTTTCCAGATACAGAGCAGCTGTCTGCGGGTTTTATATGTGTGCATTCATTGGGCTTCTCCAAAGGTGGGGCTGATTTGGAGTCTGAAGTGATGGCTGTGTCCCCATTCTGCTGCCGTTTTCCCTTGCTGAGAGATTTGAACTTACTGAATGGGTTGATATCCTTTTCTGAAGCCAGATCCTCCCATTCTCCAGGCCTGTACAGAGGACAAAGATCCTGAGGTAGGTCACTGTCAGGGGAAAAATGGTGGTGCACATGGAATGTTAAAAACAAAACCAAAAACAAAATGGAGGAAAGACAAAACAAAGACAAAATACAACCAAAAACTACAATGTGAATGTACAATAACTTAAATTTCTGTTTAAATGATTGCAGACTGAGATGAAATCAACAAATTGACTTTGAAATGAAACATAAGTCAACTTATAAGGAGGGGTGAAACAAAAAAACCATGAAAGCTGAATATCCTACTAGAAGCACAGAGATGGTTTTTGAAGTCATTAATGAACATGAAAATGTCAACCATCAGATTAATGGTGAAGTCCTTTTTGATTTTCATAAAGAAAAGCACAAAGCAGAGGAAATATTTCAGTGCTACAAAATTTCAATTTCTTAATATATGAACTTTTCTTATTTACAAAGTAGCGGAAAACCAATTATATTCATCCTGAAAGGCCTATGAACTGAATAGCTATCATTTAATAGCTCTATAAATTGATGACTGAAGCCTTATTTGGGCTTAGGATTTGATATTTCCCCTAACAAGCATCCTTCTACTCCCAAGGGAGATATAAGAGAAAGCCTCTTGTATGTAGCTATATAAAATCTGTTTGATCTTTCAACTTAAAACTGTATATAAAAGTAAACAGAATTTGTTATTATAATATTTAAGTTTCTTGACTCCTTTATAATAGTATCATTTTACTTTATGACAATGAGAAACTGATTTATAGTTGAAAATTCACACTCTGGAATGCAGATTATTTTTCTCTACTAACAGATGCCTTATTTTCCAGATTGAATTACACAAAAATATTGGTGAACATTTTCAACACTTAAAAAAATATTTGGTCGAGGAACACTCTTTTAAAACTGTGACAAAATATCTAAGTAACCCATATTTTCCCACTTACCTTAGTGTCAATATTGAGTCAAAATGCATATTAAAAATTTTGTATAGAAAAATAAAATTTCAGACTTTAGAAATAATTTTGTTTTAAAAATCATATCGGATGACACTATATGACTCTGGTTTTGAAATCATTATGACAATTAAGCCATACAAGTATCAGGAAGTTATCAAGTCATAAAACTATCTACAATGTTATTTTATAAATCACTTGCACAGAACATCCATGCCTTTTCAACAAAAGAGAGATACCTATGAAATTATTAGCCTTTCGCAAATGCTTTAAAAAACCCTCTAACTTACAACGTATTTAAATTCAAAAGAACTCACTGAGCCTTATACCACATGCTGAAAGACAGCTGTAGCAGTGTCTCTATTCTTTAGAAATTTGCATACACAATGGTGTTCTGCACAAATCATCAGAGAAGGTGTTAAAAATGGTTTAAATCTAGAATTAAGTAAGTTAGTGCCATGTGGCAGAATGTCCATTCTAGAACTCCATTATTTGACATGGCATAGTAAAGGATAAAAGAAATCTTATAACAAAGAAACTGGTTCATCACATACTTGGTTGATAAGCAGAACTACCTCCCGTGCACATCCAAGCCCCCTTTTCTCATTTTGACATTCTCTACCGAGTTAGGCTTCAGGAACAACACATCTGACTATACTCTAAAAGCCTCCTTGTCTGCCCCTCCCTTCTTGTTCTTCTATGAAATGAAAACAGGAATTAATTAAACAATCTGCTTTAGCTACATTACAGTGGCAAAGCATTGTTGGTACAAAATACATAGTTTTGTTAACTGACTCCGCTAGAATATTTTCTAGACTCAGCCAAGAACATAATTAATGATGATCAATAATTCCTTCAATTGTTCTCTATTTCCTGTGAAAGTGGGATTACAAAATGAGCTACACAAAAGAATATAAAGTCCACAGGTGAGGTTTAGAGAGATTTTCTACACGTTACACACTGTACATTACAGTGTACATTACAGCTAATTTGTACTTCTGATTTTACATACAACTTTTAGTAAAATCAAAATTTAAGAAATTTTAAACAATTTATGGAATTCTAAAGTCAGTGCTAAGTCAGTTTCACACTGACTACACTCAGACATTTTGTGCTCACTGGTGCTCTCATTGTTCATTAGACTGTAAAATTTATATATGTCATCTAAGATGGGAATCAGTGAACAACTGAAATAACTTCCACACATTAGGAGTCAGGTCTTAACTCTTTTTCGCCCTATTAGAGTGTAAACTCAGTATATCTAGATCATTAAATCTCACATTGAGAGAAATCTTCAAAACCTGCAAAACTGAACCTTTCCTTTTTATCATTAAACAGAATATTTGTTAATTAGTATTACCTTTTTAGACCCCATCATTAGTCAACAAGTTCTCCTGTTTTTCTGGACTTTTACTTCCAAACTTAACTACAGTTTAACCTACACTTGTAGTCTTTTGTCATAGAGAATCCAAAGTTGATTCCTTTCCTTAGAAACTATCTCATTTCCTCTTCTTCTCATCTAATATTCCAAGGCACCCTGGGTATGGAGTCTCATGGAGTGCTGTATATTATTCTATGTTTACAGTGCCATTGAATTAAAACTTCTGCCATCTGTCTGTTGCAGCCAATAGACTACAGCTCAACAGAAAGGGCCATGACCCACTCAACTTCCTCTCCGTGCTACACAAGAGCATGCCTGAGATACATTAGCAACCTCAGTTTGCATAGATACCATTCCAAGACACAGGTTTTGTATGCAGGAATCCCTAGCTTGAACCAAAGCACTGCATGGCCTTCCAAGCTCTGCTGAGTCTGGTCCCCTCAGAAAAGTCTTCCATAGAATGTGTCAGATGTGCATTAAAGGTTCAAATAATATCAGCCTAGTGTATTAGGCTCCAGGCTATTTCTCTAGGACTCTGCGGCATCAGTGGTTTTAGTTCTCCCAACAGCCCTCTATTCATTTCATTTTACATATGCGAAAACTAAGGCGTGAAACTGAGTAGTTCCTGCACATCTTAGACTTGTAAGTGGCATAGATAGGCAAACCCAGGAGTGTGGTTCCAGAAGAGATGCCCACGTAAACTGTCTGGTCTGCTATACTGTCTCCTCAATCTTTCTCTTACAACTCTGGGCAGAATTGAGAAACTACTAAGTGCCCCTGCTTGGGGCTGAGCATGGTCAAGTGGATCAGATACTAAGGATTGTAGGAGCCCAGGGAAACCCGCTGGCTTAACCACCCAGAGCCTTTGTGGGTGGGTTAGTTTGTTCTCGTTACCTTCCGAAACTTTCTCTGAGTCTCCAAGGGCTACTTTCTTGCTGGAATGTTAGGAACCACTGCATTCTCTCTCCTTTCCTAACACAGTGGATACTGGATGGCATGCTAGTCTACACAGAGAAACATTCATAGATGTGATAGTAAGAATCAGATTCCAACTGAATTAATCTCTTGAGGTTTCCTTCTTGGGATTTATTTATTTATTTATTTATTTATTTATTGGTCACTCCTGGCTCTGTGCTCAGGGATCATTCCTGGTGGTACTAGGATCAAAATGGAAACCCTAATCTCTTTAAAATAGTTGAATTTTATTTGGCAGGGAGGTGCAGGGGACCTCCCAAGTGGGGCTTGAGGACTCAGGAAACACTCTTGGCAATTCAGCAAACTGCAGCTCAATGTGAGAGCCTCAGGATGTGGCATTGCTTTGGCTCTGGTTGACGGGGGGTGGGGGGCAAGGGGTAAGAGGGGTTGGTATGAGGACCACCCCAGAAGTGCTAAAGGCCTCCAGGACCTCCATTCTACCACTGCCAGTGGTAATGCTCAGAAGTCCATACAATGCCAGGGATTGAACCAGGGACAGAAACATGCAAAGCTTGTGCCTTAATCTCATTACTGTTTCTCTAACCTAACACCTCAACTTTTTTGAGGTAAAAGTAAGCAGGATTAAAGCAGTATTTATATTTCAGAACCAAAACAAGTCAGGATTAGAGGCAGCCTAGCAATCAGAGAAGAGACTTCTGCATTGTCTTGCAATTTCCTCTTCCTAAAGGATATTAAGGGCAGACAAGAGGCAAGACTAATCTAGAATCTCAATGAAAATGAATCAATCTTAGTTAACAATTGTCACTGTCCTCCCGTTGTTCATGGATTTGCTCGAGTGGGCCCAGTAATGTCTCCATTGTGACAGTTGTTACTGTATTTGGCATATCAAATACATCACGGGTAGCTTGCCAGGCTTTGCCATGCGGGCGAGATACTCTCGGTAGCTTACTGGGCTCTCCGAGAGGGGCGGAGGAATCGAACTCGGGTCGGCCATGTTGGCCACTTGCAAGGTAAATGCCCTACCCGCTGTGCTATCACTTGCTTCTCGGCCTTTTGTCTAAGATCAAGTATAGTATCAGTTAACAATTAAACTAAGAAAAAAAAACTCCACTCATTCCTTATTGGCAGTAAGACTAAAAATCTTTCAAAGAATATGTCTTTCACAAATTCACAAAGGACATGCAGCGCTTTTCGGAAAAACTAATTTTTGTTGTTTTTTTTTGGGGGGGAGGGGCTAAACCTGACAGTGCTCAGAGCTACTCCTGGCTCTGAGTAGCTGGGGAGAGAACCCAAGCATCCACATGCAAGGCATGCATTCAGCCCATTAGATTGTTTCTTCAATCCAATGTTGTTTTCTCTTTGCAGTTCTTGGGATAGAAGGCTTTTCTACTGAACTACATCCCTGACCTCCACACATGCCATTTACATGTGCTGGCACTTTAGTTTTTCAGCTTTCACTTTTGTATTTGACCTGTTATTTATTCTAGCCATTTCTTCTCGTTTTTTATCTGTTTAAAATCGAGTCACTGTGAGATAGTTACAAAGCTTTCATGATTGAGTTTCAGTTCTACAATGATCGAATACGCATCCCTTCACCAGTGTACCTTTCCCACAACCAATGTGGTTTACTATCTTGTAAAATTCTACCTACAATAGGATTTTCTTCCTCTTGAAAATACCCTCATTTTAAAAACTTGCACTGAATTTCCCCCACACCCCCTTTTCCCCGATAAACAAAGAGATGTGTCTTACGATGGTAGGGCGTCTTTGATCTTCATGTGGGAAATGTCATTGTACAGGGCGATGGAAACCACTTCCTCCATGGGGCAGATGAGGCCGTATTCCTCACACCCATTTTCAATCACCAGGGGATCGGACTTGTGAGGGTCAAACATGATGTTGTTAGGAGTGACAATCATAACCCCTCCAACGACACCCTGCCGAGACAGGGAGAAGACAAAATCACCACAGGCAGAAATGCAAGCACCATAGCAGCTTTCATATATGTGGCCATTCCATAAACCACAGTAATCCATGTGTCCATCCCCTCTAAGAAGGCTGGAAAATGGGGTAAAGAAATAAAGTGTTGAGGGCCCTGTGTTGAGACGCAGAAAGCAGACAATGACTCAGTGCCACAAGGCCATGGATAGGTGCAATGAGATCTTGGGTTACAAAGTCTGTCTCAGTGTTGGGGTCTCAGTAGCCGGCCTCAGACTTTGACCAAACCCCCTGCCCTTGATAGCAAGCACAGGCCCTGTTTACAGGGGCCCAGGGGCCTGGACCAGCATTCCACACACGTAGGCACTCTGGTTGAGGACACAATGGAAGAGGGACGTGACAGTTAACATTTGCCTGAGCTGATTAACTCGGCCCTGAGATTGGGGAATACAAATCATTAACTAACATCTGAGCTAGTACTGAGCTCGACGAGATAAGTGATACATGCATGGGATGCCCCCCGATTGTGTGCATAAAACCCCCTGTGTAAGAGTCAATAAATGGAGAACTGCTTGACCACCAGACTCTCCCCCTCTGCGGCGTTGGAGAACTGGATGACCACCAGACTCCCCTCCTCTGCGGCGTTCTTTCTCAGTGGCCGTGCAGCGACAGGAATCCCGTGGTGAGCAGAGGGCCAGGGCAGAGGTTTCTCCCCTTCCCACTCCCTCTCCCATAGGGAGTAAGTCAGGCGTCTTCGGGGGATCATAATCCAATGTGCTGGGGTCGACTGGCCAGGACCCTGAATTCTCAGGTTCCTCACTTTCCTGTCTGCACAATTCAGAGGGACTGTCCCAGCATTCTCCTGGCTGAGAGCTGGGTGGTTTATCATTCACGGGACACAAACTCTCCATCACTTGATCATTTGACATCCTGTTACTCATAGATTTGCTCAAATGGGTGCCAGTAATGTCTCCATTCGTCCCTGTCGTGTGCTAGTGTAGCCCAATGGTGTCTGCTCATTCTAAGAACATGAAGAGCGAACATGAAGAGCCTCAAACTGATCGTTCAGGGTCTTGACAAAGATGTCTGACCATCTCGTAGGTGGACGGCCACATGGTCTTTTGACATCCCGTGGAATCCAGTTGGTAATGACTCCAGTCCAGCGGTTGTCTCCAAATCTCATTACGTGTCCAGGCCATCTGATTTTCGATGCCTTGGCAAATGAGACAGCGTCCCTGATTCATGACCATTGACAGAGGTTGGAACTCAGGATTCTTTCTCTCATTTTAGTGAAGTGTGATACTTCAAGCATAGCTCTTTTGAGTCCTCTTTGGGAGACCCAAATAGAGTTGTCATCCTGTTTTCGTAGGGCCCAGGTCTCTGAGGCATATGTTAATGCAGGAAGAACAGTGGAATCGAAGAGATGTGCCCGGAGCCAGAGGTTCTGCTATTTCTTCCATGCTCTTGAAGGCGTTCCAAGCTGCTCTCTTCCTCCTGCTCAACTCAGGTGCCAGGTCATTCATCATGTTGATTTCTCGACCTAGGTACACATAACTGTTGCATTTGGAGATATTTGTTCCGTTGAGAGGGAATGGAACATCAGGAACGAGACTGTTTCTCATAAACATTGTCTTTGTGAGATTCAGCTGGAGTCCAACCTTTCCACACTCATGGTTGAAGTTGGCCAGCATTTGTGCCGCTTGGCTAATGTTTGGTGTTATTAGAATGATGTCATCAGCAAAGTGGAGGTGGTGTAGTTGCCGACCGTCTATATTCACTTTCATTCCTTTCCATTCTAGTCGTTGCATGATGTTCTCAAGGGTGGTGGTGAAACTCCCATTAAGACCAGCAAATATGAGGTGGCTGCTGCCTCCGAGTCAGACGAACAGTCCTGATGTTCTTCCCTAAAATCTTCAGGAAGCCCACGTCTAGCAAAATTCATCTAAACGGCTGGAGCGATAGCACAGCGGTAGGGCGTTTGCCTTGCACGCAGCCAACATGGCCGACCCAAGTTCGATTCCTCCGCCCCTCTTGGAGAGCCCGGCAAGCTACCGAGAGTATTCGATATGCCAGACACAGTAACAACAAAGTCTCCAATGGAGACGTTACTGGGCCCGCTCGAGCAAATCTAAACTACTAGACCCAAAAATAGTTTAAGCACTGGACACAAACTACAACAACTAAACTAAAAACATGTCTATTTAGGAGATAGGTTATGGGGTGGGAGGGAAGCTGGGGTCACTGGTGAAAAAAATGTGGATACTGGGGGTGGGATGGGAGTTGGAATCACTAAGCCTGAAAGTCTATTGTTGAGAACTTGGCAAATCACAAAACCTAAACTGAAAAAAAAATCAATGCAAATAGAATTTAAAAAAATTGGTGCCAGCATTAAAACCCAGGGATTCTTTGGAATCACGCAGTAAGTTACAAAAATTTTTTATAGCTAGAAGTGAATATAGCTCAGCTATGGACACTAACAGTGAAAAACAATAGCTTGATGAGAACTTAAGTCTGAAATTTGGGTCAGTTTACATTAGAAACCTTGATGGCCTCAGGTGGATTACCTAGCAAGGACATAAAAAAACTTTCCTTGGGCAAGGAATTTGGGAACATCAGTGAGTTTGGTGAAATCTTTGTGAAAATTCATATTTCAATTACAATTGGATCTCTGACTCTTGGTTCCAAATAGTTAAGTGCATACAGTAACCTGCTTTTCTAGCATTTAGAACTTGGCAAAAAAAAATCTGTATGAACACAGGAATACATTTTCATCGATATCAACCCTGTAGAGACTCATAAAAGTTGTATTTTTTTTCTTCTGTGGGAAAAACACAGGATGCAAAAAAAAAATCCCCTAAGAATATGACAGAATAGACACTGAATACCACAATCTCCAGTAGCAAACTGAATTATAATTTAAATGTGTGAAATTTGGTGGCATGCTCTGTACAAAAATTGTACCTTTAATTACCATACTAGAGTAGTTGAATGTATTATTTTCTTATTTTGCAGACAAGAATATGACAGCTTAGAAAATTGTAAATACCTTATGCATGTCTCAGAGCTAGTGGGTGTTAAAGTAGGACATAAATTTAACAAGTCTTTTTTTTTATGTAGGAGTACTGCTATTTATTCAGCCACTGATTAGCTGATTGAATTGGGCATGAACTCCACAATTTAACAAGTCTTAATCCAGCATTTGTTGCTATACATATACTTAACTATCTCCCTAACAATCTATGGGCAAGAACCGAAGAAGATAAAGATTCACATTTCCACTCAGTGACTACAATTCTTAAGTAAAATGCTGGATATCCAATAAAGGAAAACTAATGGATGTGCTCAGGGCTTACTCCAGGCTTCTTTGCTCAGGGATCATTACTGGCAGTTCTCAGGGGACCATATAGAGTGCTGGGGTTTGAACCCTGGATCAGCATTGTGCAAGGCAAGCACCCTACCCTCTGTACTATCTCCCTAGACCATATCTTTTTTTTTTTTTGGTCCTGGGCCACATCTGGCTATGCTCAAGGCTTACTCCTGGTTTTGTGCTCGGGGATCACTCCTCGTGGGCTTAGAGTGCCCAGGATCAAACCAGGGTCAGCTTCATGCAAGGCAAGCGCTCTACCTGTTGTACTATCTCTCTGACCCAAAGGATTAGCATATTTTAATGTAGACTGACTTTAGTAATTTTGTCTAGTTTCTAGTTTAGTTTAGTTTTCCACAAATTTCAAGAGCAGGAAATAAATTACACAACCATGTACCTTTCCATCAGTGAAGTAGCGACAATTCATTTTTAAAAATTTTACCACGCCTGGTTCATCTTCTTCAGAAGTAGATGATAACACTCTTTCAATGGGTTTTAAGGCCTTTCTTGCTAAGTCAGCATCCTTTAGAAAGCAAAAATTTCCAAAATAAATATGCGACTTTTCCACAACAGATAATACAAATAAAATCAACTTTGTTCAACAGTAACTTAACCTTGAATATAAATAAGCAAATATTCTTTGTCTTTCAAAAAAAAACCCACAAATATAAAATAGAATCAAACCAAACAAAGCTTAAAGAAACAAAGACAAGTATGTATGAACTCTGCAAAAAGAGGTTCATCGACTGTCTTTAGAAAACAATCCAATAAAAAAATTCATACTTGACTTATAATTCAAATTCCCTCGTAAAAGGAGGAGCACTTATAAGCCATCAGTCTCATTGGGAGGTTTAATATCACACTTTTTACATAGGCATGTATTCTGTCTTTGAGACCTTAAATGCTCAGGGATTGCTCCTGGCTCTGCACTCAGGAATCACTCCTGATGGCCCCAGGGGACCTTATGGGATGGCGGAGTAAGAAGCCCCAATGGTAGGCAAGTTGTCTTACCCAATGAACTGCCTCTCCAGTCCAAACAAGGGGTCTTTTAGACAGGATGCAATTTCTCACAGCTAATGATTAATTACCTAACCTCAGGCCTTTGGTGGGGAAATTCAGATGAAACCATATAAAAAATAACCACATGAAGAATTTTTCATCTTCTAACACTTTTTGACAAATCTGAGTTTTAGTGGATAGAGTGACATACATACAGGCAGTTTATCATATTCTGCATCTGATGATGAAGGAGAGACAGTAGCACCAGGACTGGATGATAACCTTAAGGTACTGGAAGGAAAGTTGGCATCAGGCACAAAAAGAACCTAAGAATGGAAAAAAGAGTGAACACTAAGAATCAGGGAACCACTTATGTGTGCTGAGGATAGTTACTCCCTGCACAGTATCACGCTACATGAATAACTAAGGCCCAGTGTCAACCACAGCTTTCATGGAACTTGAAAACATCTGAACACCTTCTAGGTGCAGTCCTAAAACAGTACACAGTACCATGATGTTTTGAAGAGCAAAGAGTATGGAACATACCTTATGCCTATTCTTTTTCTTTCAGTTTCATAATCTTGTATTAAAACTCTTGAAGCAGAAAAAAATTGCAAGTTTTTAATAGAAGAAGTTCCCTGGTAACCTGCTCTGAAAATCACCTTCTCACATATGATCACTCTTCCAGCCCCTTCACCTAGACCAGCTCGTTTTCTACCTCAAGATCAAAGCTAACTCTCAATTTTTCTGGAAAAAGAGCAAATAAAACAAGTTTTTATTTTTTGGTTTGTGTGGCTTCTTGGATGTCTGGGGGAAGGGACTCAATACTGGCATTGCTCAAGGTTTACTCCTGCAGGGTTTGGGGACCTAATTTGGGGCAAGGGACTAAATCCATGTCCGCCAAATGCAAGGCAAGTACCCTGCCCACTGTACTATCTCTCTAGCCCCTAAAACTAGTTTTGATTCATCATATCTACTGAGATAATAGGGATTATGATCACTACGGACATAAATTCTATTTGAAAGAATGCAGAAGTCCAGCTGCACGTTCTGAAAGGCCTTGCATGTCTCTCCTCAGTTTGTCAGAAAAACCACAAGCAGAGTCACATGCTAGAACCACAAACGTGCAGTTAACTGTTTAGAAAAGGACAGGACAGCAGAGTGAAGGCTGTAGGGGGAAAGCTAAAGTCATTTAACCTAACCCCTAATTTTAGAGATTAGGAAATTGAGCTCCCAAACCAGAAACGATTTTCCAGGTCAAAGAGCTACTACAGGCTAAATAGAATAAAAAAATCTTCCAGGCCTCATTTCTAAAGGTATTTTTGCCTTTCAAGTAGAGATATGTCTTTAGGAGTAACTTTATGCTTCCTATAAATTACTAAACCAACATCAGTGTTTTTATATATGGACATAGTAAAAAAAAATAAGGATCAACCTGAATAATTTTACTAAGTTCCTTACCTAAATCTAGTAAACATATGCCTTGGTTCTTCTCTGCTCTAGGTAGGTTATATATAGCATAATCCAAAGTATAAGAAACTCATTATGAGATTGTAAAATATATTAATTTTCTGAGATAAAAATGTATTAGTGTTTTTGTTTTGTTTCGGGCCCATACCTGGTGGTGTTCAGGGGTTACTCCTGGCTCTGCACTAAGGAATTACCCTTGGCTATGCTTGACTGACCATACAGGATGCCAGGGACCAGACACAGGTTGGTCACCTACAAGGGAAGCATCCTACCTATTGTAGTATCACTCTGGCCCTCCAAAAATTATGAGTTTTTTTTTTTAAAGTAACACATATATTTCCTCAATTACCTGCTACTGGCAGTATACAAAGTTTTCCTTTTGATAAAAACATAAATACCAAATGCAGAAGAACTATCAAATCTAATCAATCTATGGCCTTTTGGCCTCAAGTATTACACTTAACAGTAATGAAAAAAAAAGGAGACATTTTAAGTAGAAGAGTGAATGCATAGCATATGCAAGGAATATGGCCTCCTTAAACAACACTGAGCAGAGCCCTGATGTGGCCCCTATAAAGTAAATAAATAAATAAAATGTAAAAGAAACTTGAAGAACACTATTGCCATTATTTGAATGAAGCTAGACTTAAGCTATACTTAAAAAAGTAGCAGTGTGTATCCTGAAAGAACTAAGTGCAACGAAATATGAGAACATATTGTCATGCAAATGATACCAAAGACTTGCTTAGTAAATGCACACAATCTGTGAATTTAATTCCACTAATCACAGTACTAGAAAATTGGGGGGGAAATCTTGTGGCTTTGTCTTAAAAAATAGTCCTACTGGATGTCTCTGCCCTTATCTGCTTTTGTTAGGCTACCAAATCTAGACAAAACTAATTTTTCCAAATAATAGCTACCAAGGACTGAACTAAAGTGAAACTTGCAGGAGTACCTATATTTTACATAGAATAATATTACACTAATTTGACTTCTCTTACACCCTAGGACACATCTACAGTGTAAGTAATTAGTTAAATAAACGGTACTCATCATTTGAAAAGCATTCATCTCCAAACAGCTCATAAGTATGAGGATGTTTTATCACACTTCTTGGGTATAAAGAGAGATGTGTTGTATTTAAAAGTAATGGAATTGTGTGTAACTGTAAGAAAAGATGAAACTGTACTGTTTGCTGTAACTTGGATGAAAATGGAGGGCAAAATAAGTTAGAGCAAAAATAACAAATATCAGATGATCCTTCATCTGTAGTACACAGAGAAACAAAATAAGCTAATAGATGATGTCAAATGATGACAAACCCTTGGCTTTTGATTACAAAGCTATGATTACCAAGCAATGAAGGAAGAAAGGAAAGTAGAGAAAGACTAAAAATGACATAAAGAGAATGGTGGAAGGTCTGGGGCATTTGGGTGATGGTGAAGGTGACGTGACTTTAAATATTAAAACCATAAAACTTAGCACTACAGTAACCATGTTACCTAAATAACACATTTGTTTTAAAAACTTTTAAAATATGAACCAATGCACATTACAACCGATAATTTGTGACACTAAAAATAAAGCTTTAAAAATAAAAGATAAAAAGAAAGTATCTGAAGTCACAATGAACATAAAATAATTACCTGGCCTGGAACAATAGTATGCGTGAAAAGTTTGTTCAGTTCCACTAATTTATTTGGAGTGATGTTAAACTTCAGTGCTATGGAGTTGAGGGTGTCTTGGCTTCCAGCCTAAAATAAAACAATAATATTCAACATATCATGGGTCAACAAGCACATCATGCTTTTTTTCTGATAAACAACAATCTTTTTTAGATGTAAGGGAGCAAAAATGAAATTGCTACACTCGATATATAAAAGGAGAAAAGGGGGGATATATTATCAGTTCTTTTGGGGAGGGTCACACCTAATAGTACTCAGAGCTTAAATCTGACCCTGTGCTCAGGGATCCTCCTGGCAGGCTCAGAGGACCACATGGTGTGCCAAGATCGAATACAGGTCAGCCACAAGCAAGGCAAACTCCCTATCCACTGTACTACTGCTCCAACCCCACATTCTCAATTCTTAACAAGATAACATAAAAACTATGTCTGAAGTGCAATTCATTAATGGTTCCTTTATTTCAGGTCACACTGTCCATTAATGGATTTCTAACCTTTGGAATAATTTAGAATTATTCTAAATAAGTAAAAAATAATGATTAGTATAGAGGTCCATAAGGTAGAAGATAAAACTTAAAGCAAAAAAAAAAGAAAAAGAAAAAAAACATGCTCACAGTACCATTTCTGTGAGAAATATTTTCTCTTGCTGACACCTTCTATCTGGATGTCTCTCTTATACCATAGGCTCCTGGTAGGCAGCCTATTGGTGGCAATTTTCCCCGGACTCAGTTCCAGAAACATACAAGACACTCAAATACTTGACAAGAAAAATATGAACAATAAGAAAATATGAAAATGTTCAGACGCACTGCCATTCAAAATGTAATTTTCCATGGTCAGCTAGCGTTATTCACTAAACGTGTGAAAACTGTACTATATGTCTCTGATGCATACATTTCCTTTTGTTTAAGAAAGTAAGACTAGAGAGGGCAATGAGTAGGAAAGGAGCTTCTAGATACAAAGTTTCATCCGAAAGAAAAGTCTCCTCCTTGATGGTCAAGTCATTAGCCCCAAAGGACTTCCTGGCTAGGGTCACCAGATGGAACTGGTTAGGAGGAGGTCAGTAGTGATGGTCACTGAGAAGTCCCCATCAACAGCTCTGGGTGAAGAGCTGTCTCTAAGTGGAACTGGTTTGACCAGGAAAGCCTTGAATTAGGTGGAGATAGGAGGCAGCTGCAGGAGGATGAGGATTAGTGAAAGCGCAGAGGTATAGAATTAAACTTATATTACCCTCGGTATCAAAACCGCACATGACGAAAGCTCAGGCTCATTAAGCTTACAGTCACAAAGTACAATGAAATACTTAGAACAACTTAAAGATATACATACTTAGAAAGCTCAGAAGCTAGAGAGAGTGTATTAGTGGGCATGGCATTTGTCCTGCATATGGCCTACCTGTGTTTGACCCCAGCACCCAGTATGATCCCTAGAGCACTGCCAGGAGTGACCCTGAGGGCAGAACCAGGAGAATGCCCTGAGCACTGCCAAGTGTGGCCAACATACCCCCAAGACAAACCACTGATAAATTATGCTTGTCCCTCTAAGCTCTGCAAAATTATCCCTACTAAAACTAAAAACTAATTTATTTAATTAAAGTTTTAAAATACATATTACCAATAATAGATATTGACGATCATTAAAATCAAGGGGTTTGAGGCTGGAGCGACAGTAGAGCAGGTGGGGCATTTGCCTTGCACGTGGCTGATCTAGGTTCAATTCCCAGAATCCCATATGGTCCCCCGAACACCTCCAGGAATAATTCCTGAGTGCAAAACCAGGAGTAACAACCCCTGTGCATCGCTGAGTGTGACCCCAAAAGAAAAAAAAATCCAGGGGCTTTCAGGATTGGGAATCAGCACAAGACAGACTGAGAACACAGACTACAATCAGATTTCTGGATCTAAATTCCAAACCTACCACTTGATACCTCCATTCCCCTGGCCCATTTCTTCAATGTCACTCAGTTTACTCAGGAATTATACTGCTAGTTACCTCCGTGGCCTTAGAATTAAAACTGCTATACGTGATAAGGGCTGGAGCGATAGCACAGCGGTAGGGTGTTTGCCTTGCACACAGCCAACATGGCCGACTCGAGTTCGATTCCTCCGCCCCTCTCGGAGAGCCCGGCAAGCTACCGAGAGTATCTCGCCCGCACGGCAGAGCCTGGCAAGCTACCTGTGATGTATTCGATATGCCAAACACAGTAACAACAAAGTCTCCAATGGAGACGTTACTGGGCCCGCTCAAGAAAATCGATGAACAATGGGAGGACAGTGACAGTAACTGATATGTGATAAATCTTTTAATCTGACATTATTTGGGTGCTGATTTTGAGGTATGCAGTAAGGAACAGTGTTGAATGTTTTGGGAATCAACCTACCGTAGACAGTGGCAAAGTAAGATCACCAGCCCATATGCCTTCTGGAAAGGAACCGATTTGCAAGCCACAGAAAGATGCCTAGAGATGTTCACAGAGCCCTAAGCATGAAAAGCCTGTGTCAAGACTCTCTGATGTAATTCTGTAGAGGCCTGACTAGATGTACTCAAAAGAAATACAAATAAGCACAGGGTCTTGTTATATGCTTTATAAAGAGAATGGCATGGCCTCTAGATAACAGAAAAAATAAATACACATTAAGAAATCACAGACAACTGCTATAGCACCTAGTTTCTTCTTACAAATCAGAATACTACTCAACCTTGCTATCTCAGAGTGAACTAAACTGTATCAATAATCGAGCATTCCCTTCTCCCAAGCCTAATCTAAATAAGATCTAGTCCTGACCTCTAGGAGTTCAGGGTACAGTGAGATGAGCATACACCACAGGAGGCAGAGAGGCAGTGAGGGATGCGTGCACAGTACTACTCCAGCTACAGATGGAACACTATACAGGCCTGAACCCTGCAAGCACCAGAAATGCAACGGTAACCACAAAGGTGTCCAGATGTATGAATTAAGGGCAAACAGGCATTAAAATAAATTACACTGATAATCATATTAAAAAGAAAATTTGTAAAGGAACATGAATGATTCTAGGAGCAAGTGAAATGAAAGAAGCTGGCCTAGACTTGCTAGATGGACACAGGTGAGGATGTGGATGGAGAAAAATGGGAAGCTATCAAGAATAAGGTTCTGGCGAGTACAAATGGAGCGATGATGGAGCCATTGCTTCTTGAAAGAAGGACAAGGCATACAGTGGTGGATACGCAGAAGAGACAAGAAGGTAAATGATTCTGAACTCCCAAAAGATGTCTGGGAAGGAATCCAAAACAGTTGCTGCTGACAAAAGGTAAAACAAGTCCTGGCTTTATAGAGAGAAAGTAATGGAGAGAACAATGACTTAGAATAGAACCTTCATTATTTAATGCAGAGGTAGAACTTTTTCTCTGACATGGGACATTTGGATATATGACGTTTGAATAACTTCATTATTCAAAGAGCCATACAACACAGGCAGAATGGCTACTGGCAACCAACCAGAAGCATACATATGTATGTGTCCTGACATACACCGGGAAAAGACATAATGATTTTTGCATGCCTAATATAGCCACCAGGCCAGACATTGCCCACCCCTAATTTAATGGGCATGGATGAAGAATGCAGCTAACGGAAGGAAAATTATGTTAATCTGGAAGTATTAACAAACATTCCTGCCATCCCATTTATACTCACGGTATATTCCATAGTACCATGGGGCTTCTGCACCACCATTTTCTTCTCTTTCTTATCTTGCATTTTGTTTTGATTGTTATCTGAAGAATAAAAGGCAACAAATTATTTCATTTTCAGTAACTGTGTTGATTTTAGGAATTTATTAGAAGTCCCTAGTATAATATACAAAATGACAAAAAAAAAGGTTAATGGGCCAAGGGCACAAATTCTCCAAACTCATAAAAACATAGTTTTTGTCAGTGGACACTAAGTGATTAATATGGACCAAACGAACGTTACAGAGAACAAGAATGCAATGTTTTACAGTTATAAAAATAGTTTAAGTGAGAATATGCAATGATCTAGTTAGAGTAAAACTAATGTAGTCATATTATAAATGATTCATAATGTAAATCAGTATGTCCTATCAAAAAATGACTTGTCAAAATGGAACAACCATCACAAAAATGTTCACTTTGACTCAGTAATCTTTCCTTTGGAATCTACAAAGAAAAAATTCAAGAGAGGAAAAATCTGATATGCAACAACATATAGTACTGCAAAAGTATATTTATATATATGTAATAGTACAGGGGTTGAGTTATGCATATAACAAATGTTATTTTATACAAGAAATATTAGTTTTGTACTATACATTATTTCTATAGCAACCTGAGCCACTTTGATACCTGACACCATCTGACCTTCTGAGCACTGCTGGATGAAAACCTGGAGGGTCCTGAGTGCTGCTGGGTTGCCTTGGGTGGTCTTGGCCATCCAGGGCCCTCATGTCAGCCTAATGACAAGTTGACAGAATTGCTATGTGTGGGCCCCCACTGAGCACTACTTTATAGGACCCTCCCATCAAAAAAAAAAATAAGAAACATGAAGAGACCTATGTGTTCAACAATATTAAGTTGAGCCATATACATTGCATTTATTATAAGCCAAAAAGGGTGAACAGGTGGCTGTATGAGGATTAAATCTTATTCTTAAGGTTAAATACATTATCAACACATCACGTCAAATACTGAAAACCAAAGAGACACATAACAATGGACTAAAAAACATAGGTGACAATAATAATATCAAAGTGAATTAGTTGTGAAAAGATGCTCTGTTTTGCATCGTGGATCCAAAAGCTAAACATTAAGATAAAACAAAGGCGCATTTTATCTAAATTAGCATGGCCATATTAGAAAGCGGGATAATTCCAATGTCAACAGAGATGTGAGCTGCCACTGGATACAAACTGCTTGCTACAGCCATTCCAGCAGAGGAAGTACACACAGTGCATGTAATTCAGCAATGCAACTCACAGATGCTCGCCATAAGGTGACCAGCTTGAGGATTCTACCACAGCAGCATCTGTTGTAGTGGGGAGCTAAAAGGGTAAACAAATGTGGGCTATATATTCTTGGATTTCAGACAGTCACTCTAAATAATAAGGCAGAAGCAAACACAACCGCAAGGAATCACTGAGAGAAAGAGAATGGGATGGAAAGAACATCATCATTATCCATATTTGAAATAAATGCACACAGATGGGACCGATGAATCTCCTGTTCACGGCAGCATGAATTACAAGAGAAATCTACGTTGTCCAGCCATGAATGAATGTATAAAGAAAATGTGATAGGCATACATATGTTCGTCATATACATATATACAATACACAATGGAATAACATTCAGCCATCAAAATGAATGAACCTTGCCATCTGCAACAACATGGGTGAATTGGGAAGGCATCATGCTAAATGAAATAAACCCAACAAAGTAAAATATGGTTAAGATTTTAGGCATGCAAGAAATGTAAAAATAAAGCAATATCCCCCAAATGGCGACCCCCACTCTGCATCCCCTGCAAAAAGTATATAAGCTCCAGGCCTTGGAATAACTCAGTGGCTTAACATCTGCTTTGGAGACACGATACCAAGAGTTCAATTCCCAGCACTGCTCCACCTGGTAAGTGTAAGACAGGTGATACTCCCACTGGTGTCCCTGGTACCACAACAAAGTATGTGATTTCTGACCCACCTGCAGTCAGGAATACTGTATATGAGCACCACAACTATAGTCTGTGAAGCCCAGTGTGCACTGCAACTAAAGTGTGACAGTACCACAACCAGACATGTGTGGCCAGTCACCAAACTGTCATTAAAAATATAAAGAGGGGATAAAACTACACAGGCGTGTGCACACGGAGAACAAACTGGATTGCCAGAGCTTGGAGTAAAGGATGTGGGGATGAGCAAAACTGGTTAAGGAGGCCAAGGTAAAGACTTTCAGTTCTGAAATACTGAGAAGTCACGGGAACAGAACGGTGACTATCGCTAATAATAGTATATTGTAAATTAGGAAGTTAAGAGAGTGGATCTTCAAAGTCATCATCACAAGAAAAAATCATTTCCATATTGTGATAGACATTAAAGCAGGCATGGGATCATTAAGGGAATATTTAATTATGGAATCTGAACAAAACAGATGCATGCAAAATGACTTTCAACATGTTTTAAGGTCTCATACAAATGGAAGCCTCAATGCAGTGAACACAATAAGGTAGGGAGAGACGGTAGGAGGGAATGAAAATAAAAGGTAGTTAAGGACTATGCAAGGGGATATCTCTGACCCATGACATCCATGAACTAAGGAGACGGACTCAGTCCTAAGCTCCTACAAACTAACGTACAGCACACATTCAGCACATACAAACTGACAAGGTTTGTCCACTGTCACAAAAAATATCTATGACTGTCTATCTATAAATAAATATAGATTTATATCTATGGCATTAGATCCTCAAACAGTCTCGTCAAAAACTGTCATAGGTAAGGTGCATGCCTTACATGCAGCCAATCAACCCAGGTTGTATGCAATGATTTCTAGTCCTGGTGCAAACACGATTACTAGTCATTAACTCATGCATTTTTCCTATTGCTCAGCTACAAAAGACAAAAGATGCCAGGTTAAATAATTTTAGGGTAAGCTGAACCGTGTCCACCTAAATGAGTCCACAAATTAAATTGCTTTCCACTCATTTACATGGGCAGGCCAGAAAAATATCAGTCATGGTTCTATTATTGAAAGGGGAAAGCCTCCACTCCAAAGTCTAAGATTTTTGAATAGAATGCAGTGTCTCAATCAGCCATGTCCCAGACACCAAAATTTTAAAATTCTTAAGGTAAGAAACATGATGTACCCACTGAATGTCTTCGTTCTGAATATGATACCAAGTAGATGTGCTTGAATGACCTTCCTAACATAGCCCCAAATCTGGTAGGCAACATTTTCACTGATAGAACAAAATACTGTGAAAATCACAGGCGCCTATTAAAGCCACAGATCAAAAACTAAGTATTATACCTAATGCAATACAAAAAGCAAGAAATTGACGCATTCAAGGGGCCTAGTTAATAGTTTTCATATCATTATAGCACAAGCTTTCACACTGTTTCAAAAAAGAATTTTTTCTAGTGAGTTTTAAAGATGGAGCACTATGAATCTCAAAAAGCAAAAATCTTATTATACCTAAGCTACATGATTCTATAGCACAAAATCCATAGGACAGCAGAGCAGTTTCTGGCTCTGGGAAAATTGGGGAAAGACCCCAACTGCTGGGGGCCGGAGGGGAGAGGGTGTAGGTTGAGGAGTGCTCATCTGCATTGCTTCAGGGCAAGGCTCCCCCTCCACGGGTTCAGCCCAGGGCCCTTGACTATTCACCAGGCAAAATTCTCTCCAGATGAGACTGGCAACCCCAATCCCCTCCACCACCCTCCCTCTGCTTATGGGAACTTGAGGCAAATGAAGTTAAATTATTGTCTGTCAGAGGAGAAACTTGGCCAAGGGTTCCTCAGAGGCCTTTGGGAACAAAAGCCATTGAACTGCCCAGCAGTACCACCTCAGAAAGGCAGTCTTCTGAGCAGGAAGTTCAATAAGGAAATACACGACCAGAACCCCAGAGAAATGAAACCTAGTCCTTAAAGCCTATCCACTATGGTGATTTTTTAAAAAATATGTTTTATAAAAATACATATGTATTTTAAAAATACATGTGTCTATGTATTTGAGGGGACTGGGGTGATAGCACAGCAGATAGGGCATACGCCTTGCACGCGGCCCACCCGGGTTCGATTACGGTCCCCTGAGCACCACCAGGAGTGATTCCTGAGTGCAAAGCCAGGAGTAATCCCTGAGCATCGCTGGGTGTGGCCCAAAAAGAAAAAAAGATAATATTTGAGAGATGGATTTGTTGGGGTTTTTCTTTAAATTTTTATTTTTTTCATTTCAATTATTTTTTAAATTGAATCACAGTGAGATACACAATTACAAAGTTGTTCACGATTGGCTTTCAGTCGTATCATGTTCCTACACCCATCCCTTCACCAATGTACATTTCCCAACACCACTGTCCCCAGTACCCCCACCTCTATCACAGACCTTTCTCTTCTCTTAGAGATGGATTGGAAACGGTCACCTGAAATGACTACACCTAAGTGCCTGCCAGCTTTGTCCCTCCCTGCCTTAAAGAAGCAACAGGAGGGGAGTGTTGGGAACACAGGCTCTGTTCCTGCAGCTGGGGGTTCCAAAGGAGACCAGAGGAAGCTAATGTTCATCAGCTGTCTGGAGTGCCAAGGAGACTGAATCTGAATCCTTTGCAGAGAGGTAAAGTCTTTTTTGTTGTTGTTGTTGTCAATTGAGCATAGTTTATAGTACCGTTGAAGTTGTAGTTTCACAGTTGCAGAGCTACTACACCAATCCCTCCACCAGTGTTTCAAGATTTCCCCCCACCCCCACACCATTATTCAGTAGTCCCTCCTACCTCTCCTTCCCCCTCAGTTCCCAGTTCTACTGACCAAGTCTCAGGTTTGTTTTCCAACTGGGGATTGGCTAATACTTCGCTTTGTTCTGTGAAGTCTTGATGTTAAGTTTGATGATAACCCCCAAGGAAGGTTTAGATGTATTGGGTAAAAAGAAGTATGGAAGTGTAGCTGCTATTTGTCAGGAGCTGGGAATCGATGGAAAAGGGGGTGTCTTGTCAGAAGCGTCATTCTGTTGTCCAGTGCTGTACAGAAGCTGAGCGACTGGAGTGACTATTATTA